TCACACGGTTTTAACGTGCGTCTACCTTGTAAAGTATTTCATAATATGAGACGTAAATAGCTACTGCCAACGGGCTAAAGACATGGCACGGATTATTATAACGAGGAGGGGGAATTTCATCACTTCGACTGCTGCTGCTAGACTGTGAAACTAGCCGCGCGGTAAAAATAGTGTCTTGTATTTCAAGACACGGTCTTCTTGGATCTTATGGAGAACGCCAAATGGCATCCAAGACCAGGTCTTGAAATATAACTATTTTTACCGTGTCGTTCGTATTTATACCTTTTGGTTTGCCTTCGCCGGTGCGATGTTTACCTCTGACAGCAGTCCGGCACAACCCTTGGTCCGCAAAGAAAAAAAAATCGCATTAAATATTCTTTTACAGAATTAAGTATGAAACATGAGGCCCCTCCCTTCCCTTCCTGGCTGACCTGGCGGTCCCAGCCCCGCCCCGCCCAGTCCCGACAGAACATCATTAGGGGGCGTTCCAAAGACCGGCAGGGGCACGTCGGGTCTGCGCGGAGGGCTCGGGGCTGGTCGGGGCCGGTCGGGGCTGTTGGGGGCCGGCCTTCGATGGGGTCTTAAGGTTCTCCTCTTCCGTTCTCCTCCCGCTTCCCCTCCCGACCGGCTCCCGACGTTTAGCCTTCTTTCCCTTATCCTTCCGGGGGTATTAATAATTATTGTGTATGGTGTAATGTCATTTCCTTAATTTCTCTCAAGAGAAATCACTCTAAAAAAATACAAAATTCTGTATAGTTTTTACGCAGTAATTTGCGTACAAAGTTTTGTATCAAAAACGATACAGACTCCTATAACATATACAAAAATCTGTATCTGTTATAAAAGTCTGTATCAAAAGTGTTATGCAAATTACTGCGTAACGATGTACAGAATTCTGTACTGATTTTTTTGATAGTGTAGTTGTTTAAAATACTTGTAGTTTTTTTTACGGGAAACTTTTCCACGAAGCGCGACAGAGCAGGCATAGGCTGTCGTAAAATTTACAAAATATTTTAAATTTACAAAGATATTTCTTTTACAGTGCTCCGTATCTGTCCCTTGTATCGAGCAGTGTAGGCCACGCTCATCTGTGCGTCCCTCATCGTCCCCGGCGCCGCTGCTGGCAAGCCCTTTGATACCCCCTCGCTTTGGCTGGTCCAGCCCGGCCCGGGTCTGCTGGGGCGTATTCACAACGTACCCGCCCGTCTCTCTCCCTCCAGAGCAAACGTGTAATGAAGTCAGGAAATCCTCCCCAGTTATGCTTTTACGTCGAAGTTTCGCGGATGGGCCGCACGAGATATATGGAGGCCGCGCTCCGCCAGGAGTGAAAGCAATCGCGGGAGGGAGATAGAAGAGGGGAGGGGGGGGGGGCAGGAAAGAAAATAGGAAAAGTTCGGGACTGTTGAAGACAGAAATACAGTCCCAACCTCACTGCTGCTGGGCCCGCGTCCCGCTCGCCGTCCCGTCTGGGCCGAGGGAGAGGCGGGGGACCACCGCTGCTGCTTCTGCTCCTGGGAGGTGGGCGTGGGAGGGGTTGGGGAGGGACAAGGGGCGCACGGGTACCGCTGCTGGTGGGA